CTTACCATGTTATAAATACAATTAAAAACATAACATATAATAAAAACTAAACAAATCAATAAAATATAAATTCATAGTGTCTCCTTGTTAAAAATGTTGTCTAAACTCACTGTCTAGTCATTCCATTTTCCTATGTCAGTTACTCTGCATTTGCAAATGCATGTTCAAAAAGCCACGTCTTGACTTTTTCCTGGAATGTTAAAAGGGGCCACCACCGAGAAGGCCCTGTCTCTTATCTATGCCAAACATCAGGCCCGTAGCCAGGATTTCATTTGGGGGGGGGGGGGCTGAGTTTTTTTTGGGCAGGGGGAGCTGAGTCTGAGTGAAAGAGGGTCTACCCTAGCAAACCTTTTGTATCATTACCCCAATACCCCCATGCATATGGGATATTGAGTATGGTGATCAGATCATGATATGAATAAACATAACAGTTTAAATAATGCACCAGTAAGGCCTTTTCATGAACCACCATGAGAATTTGGGGGGGGGGGCTGAAGCCCCTCAAGCCCCCCCCCCCCCCCCGGCTACATGCCTGCCAAACATGGTCATACAGCCCAGAAAACTCACAGCAACCCAGAATCATAGCATTGGGAAAAACCCCAAGGGCCACCCAGTCCAACTCACTTATCCTATTCAAGAACACATTCAAAGCACTCCCAATAGATGGTCATCCACCATCTGCTTAATACCAATGTTTGTCAAGAACAAGATATCACTAAATCCAAGAATACTCAGCCTCTGAACCAAGAAAATCAAGGTTTTGATCCTCAAAGTGTTGGGGGGGAGGGGGAAGCAAGGATCAATCAATAAATAAAATGGAGATCAATGTGCAGGCTTCCCAAAATGAATACTCTTTCGAGTCCATGTGATGTGCACTCAAGGAATGCTGCCACTCATTGGCACAGGGACAACTCATCTTTGGTGCTTACTCTTTTCCAATCCCTCTGATACTCAAATATCAAACTTGGTGTGAACTATGTATTTTAATAAGTCCTATGTTTGATTCTATTTTAATGTTTGTATACTTTCTAATGGGTTCTAAGTTGCACATTGTGTGGTTTTGAGCAGGCATGTGCGAACTTGGGCCCTTCGGGTGTTTTGGACTTCAACTCCCACAATTCCTAACAGCCTCAATCCCCTTTTCCTGGAAAACTACAAGAAGGAGGTGAAGAATTCATGGACTGTAATTAAAAGTTGCCGATGACCTGTGAAAATGTTAACTTTTGGGGTGAAAACATGTTTACATTATCAGAGACAATGGCTCTTTAAGTTAAGGAAATGTTTACAAGGTTCCTTATGTTAAGAAGGAAACCAACACAAGGCTCCTTACGTTTACATTACATTAAGCAAAGCCAACATCAGGAACTGAGAGGAAGCCAGGATGTTTCAGGCTGGAAAAAGTTGAAGTCCAAAACACCTGGATGACCCAAGTTTGCCCGTGCCTAGTGTATAAGGTGTATATGAAACAAATAATGCTCATGTTTCAACTTGGCTCCCACTTCCAGGGTACGAATAGGCAAACAAATAGGTAAACATTTCTATCTCCAATTCTGGAAAAACCCACAAACCAAAACACTTTGGGGCCGTAGCATTTTCAGATCTTGAAATATTTGCATATTCGTAATTACATAACTCTAAACACAAAATTTATGTATGGTTCACAGATGCCTTACACACACAGCCTGAAGGTAGTTTTAGACACTAACACTTAAATGATTTTGCGCATGAGACAAAGTTTGTGTCCATTGAACCACCAGAAAGCAAACGTGTCACAATCTCAGGGCCCTTCCAAACAGCCCTATATCCCAGAATATCAAGGCAGAAAATCCCACAATATCTGCTTTGAACTGGGTTATCTGAGTCCACACTGCCATATATTCCAATTCAAAGCAGATAATGTGGGATTTTATTCAGCTGTGTGGAAGGGACCTTGGATGATTTGGGATTGTAGAGTATTTTGGGCTTCAGATCAGGGATGCTTGACTTCGACTATCTATTATTGTAACTCTTGGTCCTAGATCAGTGTTTCTCAACCTTCCAAATGCCGTGACCCCTTAATACAGTTCCTCATGTTGTGGTGACCCCCAACCATAACATTATTTTCATTGCTACTTCATAACTGTAATTTGCTACTTTTATGAATCGTAATGTAAATATCGGATATGCAGGATGTGTTTTCATTCACTGGACCAAATTTGGCACAAATACTGAATATGCCCAAATTTGAATGCTGGTGGCATTGGCTGAATTGATTTGTCATTTTGGAGTTGTAGTTGCTGGGATTTATAGTTAACCTACAATCAAAGAACAACTCCATCAATGATGGAACTGAACCCAACTTGGCACACAGAACTCCCATGACCAACAGAAAATACTGGAAGGGTTTGGTGGGACTTGACCTTCTGTTTTGGAGTTGTAGTTCACCTGCCTCAAGAGAGCACTGGCCTCAAACCATGATGGATCTGAACCAAATTTGGTACGAATACTCATTCCACCCAAATGTGGTGAATTTTGGGTAAAATAGACATTGACATTTGGGAGTTGTAGTTGCTGGGATTTATAGTTCACCTATAATCAAAGCGCATTCTGAACTCCACCAATGATGGAACTGAGCCAAACTTGGCACACAGAACTCCCATGACCAACAGAACATACTGGAAGGGTTTGGTGGGAATTGACCTTCAGTTTTGGAGTTGTAGTTCACCTGCCTCCAGAGAGCACTGTGGACTCAAACAGTGATGGATCTGGACCAAACTTGGCACGAATCCTCAGTACGCCCAAATGTCAACACTGGTGGAGTTTGGGGAAAATAGACCTTGACATTTGGGAGTTGTAGTTGCAGGAATTTATAGGTCACCTACAATCAAAGAGCACTTTGAACCCATCCCACAATGGATCTGCACCAAACTTGGCACACTACGTACATGGCCAACAATGAATACTGGTGAGATTAGGGCGGCTGTTTTTGAATTCTGGGAGTTGTAGTTCACCAACACCAAAAAGGAAGAAAAGGACAGGTGGAGAGATCTTCAGCCTTCTTTGCCAAAAGGGTTCCTAAGACCATCAGAAATATGTGTTTTCTGATGGTCTTTGGCGACCCCTCTAAAACCCCCTTGTGACCTACTTAGGGGTCCTGACTCCCAGGTTGAGGAACACTGCCCTAGAGTTGTGTTCATGCTTTGGATGAATTCTGTTTGAAACCGTTTTAATTTATGTTTGATGGAAGAGGGAGCTTGCCTGGTGGCTTGAGCGACGGACAGCGACGTAAACCCACTGGATGACCTTGAGTAGGTCACACTCTCTCAGCCTCAGACGAGGGGCATGTCAAGCCTCTTCTGAACCAATCTTTTCAAGGAAACCCCATGATAGGTTTGCTTCAGGGTCGCCATAAGTCAGAAGTGCATGCTTCAGAGTCACCATAAGTCAGAAATGCGTGAAAGGCACACAACAACAAGGGAAGTCCACTGCCTCCTTGCCCTCCAAAGAGCATGACATATTTACTTTTGGAGATGGCACAATGGGTGGATGTCCTGGGCGCAATAGGGAAAAGGAACTCCCAAATCCCCCCTTACAAAGAAGTCCTTAGATGTGCAATTCTGGCCTTGTGGGGATTAGACCCCCATCCCGCTGTCTTCTTTTTCTCTTTCCACCAACAACCCCCCCAACCCCAAAAACCTCCATACTGCGGAGGAGATCCCAGCCCCAATAGCCTGGAGGCACATTAAAAATGCAGGGAAGTTGCTATAGGCAAATGAACGAGTCGACTGCATTAGCGGCGCTTGGGAAAAAACGAGAAAGTTGTGCGGAGGTGGAGGGGGGAGGTCGTGCGGGGAGATTGGGGGGCCGGTGCAAAAGGCGACCGCATCTCCTTCATTACCAGCAAACTGTCAGGGACAATTATTTTCCAAGTGCCCGACCCTTTTCTTCCAAACTCATGAATGTTGCAAGGAAAGAAGCGCTTGCAAGGAAGGGAAAGGAAGAAAGGTGGCTTGGGATGGAGGGGACGGAAAACAAGCAGAGGAAGGATTTATTGCCTATAATCACCCATTCCTTTCTCCTTCAAGTAAGGCTTAGCATTGAAAGTAGCACCAAGTGAAAGAAATGTCACTTCCTATAGTATCCTGTTGGCCCTGGGATTTTGCATCCAGGCATTCCACCAGACACACGCTGAAAATATTAACTAACCATGGTAGCTTAAGGAACAGCCACATTTGTATGCAGAATGCCATTCAAATAAAAGAAGTCTTATAATGACAGTGTAGGCCCCTTCTACACTGCAATTATAGCCCAGGATCTGATCCCAGACTATCTGTTTTGAACTGGATTATATGCGTCTCCACTGCCATATAATCTGGGATAAGCAGATATCTGGGGTCACATCCTGGGATATAAAGATAGCGGAGAAGGAGCCTAAGTCTAACAAATGAGGAAACTATTTACACAGATACTCTTTTGAACACAGCATATGTTCATCAATGATAGATAGATAGATAGATAGATAGATAGATAGATAGATAGATAGATAGATAGATAGATAGATAGATAGATAGATAGATAGATAGATGATAGATAGCTGGGGCCCTTAAACCTTGGTCGCTGCCAACATATGTTCATTAGTGATAGATAGATAGATAGATAGATAGATAGATAGATAGATAGATGGTTACCAACTTATGTTCATAGATGATAGATAGATAGATTGATAGATAAATGATAGATCGATAGATACCGTAGATAGACCTGCTAGTTACTAACATATGTTCATAAATGATAGATAGATAGATAGATAGATAGATAGATAGATAGATAGATAGATAGATAGATAGATACTGTAGATAGACTTTAGGCGGAATTGTCCAAAGTGCTGATAATGATGAGCAACGAATTAATTCCCCAAGAGTTGACCCTGCAAATGTGAAGAGCAGGTTGCTTATGGTATTTCGACCATTTCTACTACATCCACCAACGCAAACATCTATCTTGACTAAACGGTGGCCTACCTGGTCAGAGAGGCTGGCACAAGACCCACCGAAATCTTCCAGATCGGACTTGGAGCCACCGTCTCGGTCATCGATGACCAGGTCGATGGGCATCTTCCCCTTGAGGCAGGTGATGTAGCGGTGGCAGAAGTTGTCACAGAGGTCATGTACCTGTTGCCAGTTCACAAAGGGGCACAAGTTAAAACAACAACAACAACACAATATCATAAGATTTCAGCAAGTTAGAGTTGCTGAAGGATTGTGAGGAGAAAATAATAATAATAATAATAATAATAATAATAATAATAATAAAAATAATAATAATAATATTTTCTCCCCAAAATCCTTCAGCCAAGGGATATAGCAAGGGATCTGGATAACTGTAAAGGAAAAAAACCCACACACTTCCAAATATGGGGCATATCTGGCCATCATAATTATATCACTTTAATACCATTTCAAATACTATGGTAATTTAAAGTCAGGCAATAGTGCTATAATTGCATCGTGTGGAAAGGCCTCCAAGTGATCAAGAAAACATTGCTGATCATTTTGCCCCCAAAGGGAAGCATTCCCCGTATACTCTTCCCGTCCTGACTTCCTACTTGGAATCATACAGCCTGCGATCTCCTTTTTTTCTATTTGATTCTTCCAGCCGTAAGACATTGCGGGCGTCGAGAAATAAGAAATAACAGGAGATATAAAACGTTGGTTCCTCTCCTGTATATCAGAGTTTGTTTCAAACCTTTGCCTGCAGCGTTGAGATCCAGAAAGTTGCCTTTCTCTCTCTCTCTCTCTTTTTTTTTTTAATTGGACACCTGAGATTCTCTAGATTCGAAAACTTCAAATCTCAGAATATTTTTTTTTTTGGTTTGCCTGGGGGAGGCCATGGTGCCGGTTCTCTACACTCTTTCGAGTCTCTAGGAAAACAGTTGTAGTGGGACAGGGCTTGACCTAGTTTGGAGCTGCTTGGAAAAGATGGAAAGAGATGAATGGTTTCTTTATGGGGGGGGGGGGGGTCTTGGGTGGGGATGTCCTTCTGAGAAGCGGAGACCAGAAGCTGGGGTTTAAAATCCTTTATCCTGGGAAAGAGGAAAAGGGGGAAGAAGATCAGAAGAAGGAAAGGGCCTTGGATTGGAGAGCCCTCTTCTGAACTCCATCCGCCTTTTCCTCCTTCCCCAGGATAAAGGATTTCAACCCCAGCTTCTGGACTCCGCTGCTGCCCAGCAGGGGCCCTCTGTGCGAATCAAAGGGTTAATTATCACATTAACGAAGGATTTATCAGGTTACAAACACAGGGTTTTATTGTACGGTAACGAGCTCATTACTCCGGCAAAAAGGGGGACTCAGGTCTGACCTTCTCCATAGAAGCTGGTGGGCTTGGCGGATGTGGCCCGGGTCAAACTGGCACCTCTGTTTAGGGGAATTGAAGGGGAGGGGGGAGGGGGAGTCCCCTTTCCTACCCCTCGCTTTCCCCCCAAAGCTTTGGGGAGTTAATTTGGGTACAACAAATCCCAGCATGCCCAGCACAGGATTGTCAGAGTCGTTGTTTTGTGCCTTTTTTCTGATTTATGGAAAGCCTCTCACAGAGTTTACTTGGAAAGATTTGTTCACAAGGGTTTCATCATTGCCTTCGTCTGAGACTGAGAGAGTGCAACTCTAAGGTCACCCAGCAAGCTTCCATTGTCTTCCTCTAGGGCTGAGAGAGTGCAAAAGTCATCTAATGGGTTTCCATTGCCTTCCTCTGAGATTGAGAGAGTGCAACTCTAAGGGCATCCAAATTGTTGCCATTGCCTTCTTCTGATGTTGAGAAAGTGCTACTCTAAGTTCATACAACTGGTTGCCATTGCCTTCCTCTGAGGCAGAGAGTACACTTCTAAGGTTATCCAATGGGTTGCCATTGCCTTCCTTTGGAGCTGAGAGAGTGCAACTCCAAGGGCATCCAACAGGTTGCCATTGCCTTCTTCTGAGGTTGAGAAAGTGCAACTTTAAGTTCATAAAACTGGTTGCCATTGCCTTCCTCTGAGGCAGAGAGAGCACCTCTAAGGGCATCCAATGGGTTTCCATTCCCTTCCTCTGAACCTGAGAGAGTGCAACTCTAAAGCCATCCAATGAGTTTCCACTGCTTTCCTCTGGAGCTGAGAGAGTGCAACTCTAAAATCATCCAGTGAGTTGCCATTGACTTCCTCTGCAGCTGAGAGAGTGTAACTCTAAGGGCATCCAATGGGTTTCCATTGCCTTCCTCTGCAGCTGAGAGAGTGCAACTCTAAAGTCATCCAATGAGTTGCCATTGACTTCCTCTGCAGCTGAGAGAGTGTAACTCTAAGGTCATCTAATGGGTTGCCATTGCTTTCCTCTAGGGCTGAGAGAGTGCAACTATCCAATGGGTTGCCATTGCCTTCCTCTATGGCTGAGAGAGTGCAACTCTAAGGTCATCCAATTGGTTTCCATTGCCTTCCTCTGGGGCTGAGAGAGTCCAGCTCTAAGGTCATGCAATGGGTTTCCATTGTCCCCCTCTTAGGTTGAGAAAGTGTGACCGAGGTCATTTCATTTCTTTCCACTATCTTCCTCTAAAGCTGAGAGAGTGTGATTTACCTAAGGACATCCAATGGATTTCCATGGCCTACCTCTGTTGTTTTATCCACACTATATAATGCAGTTGACAACAATTTTAATGTCCACAGTTCAATGCTATGGAATTACAGGAGTTGTGATTTTGCAAAGTCTTTCGCCTTCTCTGCCAAAGAGCACTGCAGGCTCATCAAATTACAGTCCTAGGACTCCATAGCACTGAATAATGGCAACCAAAGTGGTGTCAAACTGCAGTGTAGAGGCATCCTAAGATTTCATGGTCCCACAAATTCTAGTGATGGTCCTTGTAAAGACTACAGAACCACACAGAACACTGGGCTCTGAGTCTATTTTTACAACGTCTCCTTTCCTCCTTCCCCACTTGCTCCCATATGAGGAGATACTTCAAAATTGGACCCAGCTGTTTCTGTCCAAGTGAGAAAGGGAAATTATTTGCAACGACTTTTATTCTTGGCTGGAGGATAGTTTGGGTCTTGCTTGGTTTTGAATTCTATTGTTGGGGTTTCTCCCAGGAGGAGACTCTGGATTGTCTCTTTCCTTTTCCAAGGACCACCTCAGGCTTTAATGAAGTTCGCGCCAAAAAAATGTCTGGGATGAAGCATTAGTCAACCTCAAATAGTGTGGCCAGAGAAACTGAGTTTGCTTTTGGGGAAACAAAAATGCAAGTTTCTGTCCCTCATGGTTGCAAAAATAGGAGTGAAAGTTGTGTGAGTGATCCTTGAAGTATGGGAATTGATAGGACTTGACAGTCTAGTTGCCAGCCGAAGAGAAAATGTGTTCTGGGTTAAAGACCAAACTTTGAAAGACTTATCAAAGATGCAAAGTGTATTTTAAGGAATAAGATTTAGCATGTGTTGTCCAAGGCTTTCATAGCTGGAATGTGGAGCCCCCGGTGGCGCAGTGGGTTAAACCAACAGGTCGCAGGTTCGAATCCGGGGAAAGGCAGATGAGCTCCCTCTATCAGCTCCAGCTCCTCATGCGGGGACATGAGAGAAGCCTCCCACAAGGATGATACAAACATCAAATCATCCGGGCATCCCCTGGGCAACGTCCTTGCAGACGGCCAATTCTCTCACAACAGGAGCGACTCCTGACACGACAAAAAAAAAATAGCTGGAATCATTGGGTTGCTGTGAGTTTTCTGGGCTGTGTGGTCATGTTCCAGAAGCATTCTCTCTTGACGTTTCACCCACACCTATGGCAGCATCCTAAGACGTTGTGAGATCTGTTGGAAACTAGGCAAGTGAGGTTTATATATCTGTGGAATGTCCAAGGTGGGAGAAAGAACTCTTGTCTGCTTAAAGCAAGTGTGAATGTTGCAGTTGACCATCTTGATTAGAATTGAATGGCCTTGCAGCTTCACAGACTGGCTGCTTTAGCATGTTAGATAGGACTTTGCAAAACAAGACCAGAGTTGAAAGAGCAAAGATAAATCTTAGCGATGCGAGAAAATCTACAAAAGCCATGCAGTTGTCAAGGCATGTTTGCAATTTGAGACACATTTGCATTCGTTCATTCGTTCAGTCGTCTCCGACTCTTCATGACCTCATGGACCAGCCCACGCCAGAGCTCCCTGTCAGCCGTCACCACCCCCAGCTCCTTCAAGGTCAGTCCAGTCACTTCAAGGATGCCATCCATCCATCTTGCCCTTGGTCGGCCCCTCTTCCTTTTGCCTTCCACTTTCCCCAGCATCATTGTCTTCTCTAGGCTTTGCTTTCTCCTCATGATGTGGCCAAAGTACTTCAACTTTGTCTCTAGTATCCTTCCCTCCAATGAGCAGTCGGGCTTTATTTCCTGGAGGATGAACTGGTTGGATCTTCTCGCAGTCCAAGGCACTCTCAGAACTTTCCTCCAACACCACAGCTCAAAAGCATCTTCCTTCGCTCAGCCTTCCCTAAGGTCCAGCTCTCACATCCGTACAATCTCACATTTGTACATTCTGCACAAAATTCACACTTTCTTTTTTTGCATTGGGAAAAGCGCATTTTCCATCATGAAAAAGGAAAGATTGTTATTATCTGAAATACTTTCCTTTCCCACTGAGAAAGGACCTCTATTCTTTCTATCACACTATGTAACATTATTTTTGTTCCTGGGTTTTTTTTTCCGTGTCAGGAGCGATTTCAGAAACTGCAAGTCGCTTCTGGTGTGAGAGAATTGGCCGTCTGCAAGGACGTTGCCCAGGGGACGCCCGGATGTTTTGATGCTTTACCATCCTTATGGGAGGCTTCGCTCATGTCCCTGCATGGAGAGCTGGAGCTGACAGAGGGAGCTCATCCACACTCTCCCCGGATTCGAACTTGCGACCTGTCAGTCTTCAGTCCTGCTGGCACAAGGGTTTAACCCGTTGTGCCACCGGAGGCTCCTGGGTTATAAATGTCATTTGCTAATTGTATTGTCGAAGGCTTTCATGGCTGGAATCACTAGGTTGTTGTGAGTTTTCCGGACTGTTATGGCCATGTATGGCATCCACAAAGGTTGTGAGGTCTGTTGGAAACTAGGCAAGTGAGGTTTCTATATCTGTGATCTCACAACCTCTGAGGATGTCTGCCATAGATGCAGAAGAAACGTCAGAAGCTAATGCTTCTGGAACATGGCCATACAGCCCAGAAAACTCACAACAACCCATTTCCTGGTTGGTTCTATCATAAAAACATGAGAAATGTTTATTGAAGTTCCAAAACTTTGTTTTTGCGAGAGGGACATCCTGCTATAGCACATTTTGCTATAGTTTTTCAATGAATATCTTATCGAGTCTCAACCAATTCAACATAGTTTGTGGCAGACACAAAAAAAGAAGTTTCTAGAGTAGAAAAACTATTTTCAAATTAAGTGCCACACAATTAAACAAGAATAACACTTTTATACCAGAAACAGAATTTTTTTCAAATGTTGTTACAGAGTGTTATCTGCTTCTGCAGAAAAGCAAAGGTTGATTTCTGGGGGGGAAAATGCTGTTTTCCAAGCAAATCAACCAATGCAAGTTTTGTGCAGAACAAATCCCAAAATGCAGTTTTCTTTCTGCAAAGAAAACACTTTCCAAAGAAAACAACTGTAAGCAGATTTTGTTTAAAAAATTAATCCAGAATGGTTTATTTCCATTTTTAGTTTTACATTTGGCCTTCCCATAGTTTTAATTGTATGTTGTCTTATTGATAATGTTGTATGTTATTGTCCATGTTCTTTATTTTTAATTGCTTGTATTGTTGTGATTATTGATTGTATTGTTGTGTTTGGGCTTGGCCTCATGTAAGCCACACCGAGTCCCTTGGGGAGATGGTAGCGGGGTACAAATAAAGTGTTATTATTATTATTATTATTATTATTATTATTATTATTATTCTCATCCCAAGATCCTTCTCAACAATTGAAAAACATGGGCATCTTTGAATATTTTAAAATGTTCTTTCTTTTGGATTGCTGTGAGTTTTCTGGGCTGTATGACCATATCCCAGAAGCATTCTCTCCTGACATTTTGCCCACATCTATGGCAGGCATCCTCAGAGGTTGTGGTGTCCATGACATGCGAGTGTGGAGGAGAGCAAACCACAGACCACCTACTACAATGGGGCCTGAACACAATGCACAATGGAGGACCTTCTCACAGCAACACCAGAGGCACTCCAAGTGGCAAGCTTCTGGTCAAAGGACATTTAGTATGATGCCAAGTTTTTAGAATAATAGAATCATAGAATCAAAGAGTTGGAAAAGACCTCATGGGCCATCCAATCCAACTCCCTGCCAAGAAGCAGGAATATTGCATTCAAAGCACCCCTGACAGATGGCCACCCAGCCTCTGTTTAAAAGCTTCCAAAGAAGGAGCCTCCACCACACTCCGGGGCAGAGAGTTCCACTGCTGAACAGCTCTCACAGTCAGGAAGTTCTTCCTTATGTTCAGATGGAATCTCCTTTTTAATTTTCTTTGTGTTTTAAATACATTATAATTGTACCCTCAATTTGCTTCTGACACAGTAAATCCTTACACATAATATCTATCTATCTATCTATCTATCTATCTATCTATCTATCTATCTATCTATCTATCTATCTAACTTATCTATACACATAATAAAAGTGAAAAGTGTGCGGCCAACTTTGAATAATGGCAGGGTTTGGGAAAGATTGACCCACGATTCTGGGAAGTGTAGTTCACCCAGATCGTTATGCGTTTTCCTATTGGGAGCATTCATAAAAAACAAAAGGAAAGGCTGGCTTTTTTTCTAATGTTGTGTTATACTTTACCTAACTGATATTACCAAACTTCAAAAACAAACAATGCATTTCTCAAATAATCCAGGCACCCCCGGGTTCCCAAGCTAGTAAATCAATAAATAGTGATTTTTTTTTGTCGTGTCAGGAGCAACCTGAGAAACTGCAAGTCGCTTCTGCTGTGAGAGAATTGGCCATCTGCAAGGACGTTGCCCAGGGGATGCCCGGATGATTTGATGTTTTGTCATCCTTGTGGGAGGCTTCTCTCATGTCCCCGCATGAGGAGCTGGAGCTGATAGAGGGAGCTCATCTGCCTCTCCCTGGATTTGAACCTGCGACCTGTTGGTCTTCAGTCCTGCCGCTACAGGGGTTTAACACACTGAGCCACCGGGGGCTCCTAATAGATAGTAATGAATAGAATGAATAGTAATAAATAGTGATGAAGGCAGAGGAAAGGGATCCAATGAAACCTGAAAGCAAACATATGTACCTTTTCTAACTCCAGAAGGTGGAATCTCAGCACTTGGATGGCCTGGATCATCTGAAATTTGAAAAAAAGAAGAATTAAAATAAAAAGGTTGGTTGCCAAAGTCCTGATTGAGGGTTGTTGTCTTTTTTGTTGGAACATGCAAGAAATCCGTTACTGTAAAATAGGATGCATGAAGCCGATTGGTCGGGCTATGCCCAGGGAGATGGCTGAGCCTGGGACTTTTGGTTACTGTTACATTTCTCAGGCTTGAGCTATGAGAGAAACACAGAGAGAAGAAGAGAGAAGTAGAGAGAGACAGAGTTTGGGGTGTGTTCTCGCTTCATGAGCTGCTGAAGGAACTTATCCACACGGACGAAGAAAGACCATTTTAAATCTTTCATAAAAGGACATTATGTGAGTCAATGCAACTGATCACATGATTGGAAATTTGTTTTTCTGATTTACAAAGAATAAACTATTCATTCGTCACTAGCTGTACCCACCAAGCATTGCTGTGACCAACCTTCCCTCCCTCTTTCTCTCCTCCTTTATTTCTCTCCTTTCTTCCCTTTTTTTCATTCTCTCCTCCCTTCCTTCTCGTCCTCTTCCCTTCCTCTCCCCTTTTCTTTCCCTTCTTCTTTCTCTCCTTTCTTCCTTCTCTACCTATTCTTAGACTGCAACTCCCAGCAGTCCTCCTGATCAATCTACCTATCTACCTGTATCTAATCTACCTATCTATCTTATCTATCTGGAGGATTGCTGCGAGTTGCAGTCCAGGAATAGGAAATTGGAAATACATAGGGATTGGGATGCTCTCAAAGAAATCCAAGGAGAAGAAAGCTTGCAGCTTGGAAGCAGTGCATTTGGATCATCCTCTACTCCTAAAGGGCCTGGTCTAGGGGATGCTGGGAGCTGTAGTCCAGAGGAGAGTGTGGATATGCTCCTGTGTCTTTCGTTTGCCGGCGGAGTTGTTTTTGCACATGCGCTGTAGCATCTTTTTCCTTTTGGGGCTTTTTAAGTCCCTTCCACTGTGTTTTTCAGTGTTTTTATGAGTGATGGTCACTCATTGGCCTGATAGGTGTCTTGTGTCCAAAGTTGGTGTCAATTCATCCAGGGGTTTTTGAGTTATGTTAATCCTACAAACTAACATTATTTTTTTATATAGACTAGCCGTCCCCTGCCACGAGTTGCTGTGGCCCAGTCTGTGTATATATGTTTTGTGTGTGTGTGTATGTTTATATGTGTGTGTGTACGGTTGTGTATATATGTGTATTTGTGTATATATGTGGTTTTGCGCATGCATTGCAATGCATTTTTCTTATTTTTGGCTTTTTAAGTCCCTTCTGTTGTGTTTTTCAGTGTGTTTATGAGTGATGGTCATTCATTGGCCTGGTAGGTGTCTTGTGTCCAAATTTGGTGTCAATTTGTCCAGTGGTTTTTGAGTTACGTTAATCCTACAAACGAACATTACATTTTTATTTATATAGACTAGCCGTCCTCTGTCACGCGTTGCTGTGGCCTACCTTCCCTCCCTCTTTCTCTCCTTCTTTCCCTCCTTCCTTGCTCCCTCTTTCCTTCCTTCATTCCTTTTACTTTCCTTCTCTCTTTCCTTCCTTCCTTCCTTCCTTCCTTCCTTCCTTSCTTCCTTCCTTCCTCCTTTTCTATTCCTTCATCTTTCTCTTCTTCCTTCTCTACCTCTTTCCATCCTTCCTTCTCTCTTTCCTTCTTTCCTTCCCTCCCTCTTTTTCTCARCTTTCCCGCCTTCCTTCGCTCCTTCGTTCCTTCCCTTATTTTCTTTCTTTCTCTCCTTCCTTCCTTCTCTACCTTTCCTTCCTTCCTCCTTCTTCCTTTCCTTCTGCTTTTTCTCCTTTCTTCCTTCTCTACCTCTTTCTTCTCTTCCTTCACTTTTTGCTTCCTTTTCTCTTTCCTTCTTCCTTCACTCCCTCTTTTCTTTCTTTCTTTCTTTCTTTCTTTCTTTCTTTCTTTCTTTCTTTCTTTCTTTCTTTCTCCCCTTCCTTCCCACCCTCTTCCTTCTCTTTTTTCTGTTTTGTCATTTGGCTTTTTGTCATTTTGCTTTTTGGGATTTTTAAGTTTTTACCGCTGTTTTTTTTGGGGGGGGGGCTATGAGTGATGGTCACTCATTGGCCTGATAGGTGTCTTGTGACCAAATTTGGTGTCAGTTCGTCCAGTGGTTTTTGAATTATGTTAATCCCACAAACGAGCATTACATTTTTATTTATATAGATTGTTCATCTGTGTGGCATATTTTCTTTCCCTGCAAGGCAGTATGTGGGCTTTTTTTGTTGTTGTTGTGTCAGGAGTGACTAGAGAAACTGCAAATCGCTTCTGGTGTGAGAGAATTGGCTGTCTGCAAGAATGTTGCCCAGGAGACGCCTGGATGAATTGATGTTTTTATCATCCTTGTGGGAGACTTCTCTCATGTCCCCGCATGAGGAGCTGGAGCTGATAGAGGGAGCTCATCCGCCTCTCCCCGGATTCGAACCTGCGACCTGTCGGTCTTCAGTCCTGCCGGCACAGGGGTTTAACCCACTGCGCCACCAGGGGCTCTAGTGTGTGGGCTGATCAAACGTGAACTACACATGGTTTCTTTTATGCCACACTTTTCTCATTTGGATGAGAAACTTCAGGATTTTGGACAATCCTGAACCAACAAACACTTCCTAAACTCTGTTTGGCCCCCATTGGCTGCCAGTTCCAGACCTGTGGGATAAAGCAACCCAAGGACATTGGGGAAAGTGAGGCACGTAGGTAGGAACAGGAGGAGAGTTACCAACAAAAGAGACAGAAAGACCTCCCGTCCCTTATGGAACAGAAAAGGATGTCAGATCCACAAGGAACACGGATATAGTACTTTATGTTTCCACTGGCAACAAAAGAGAGATCGGAAAACAAGAAGGCATCCTTACCAAATTATCCAGCTCAGGATTGGAAGAAAATAAGGGCTTTTCTGTCCTAACCTAAAAATAGAGATTTGGGGAGTGGGGAGGGAGGAAGAGAAGGAAAGAGACGGAGCGTTAGTAGGGGGCAAAACACGACAGAGGGAAGTCTGAGATGCGCATCGGTTGAAAAATCTGTTTCTCTCATTTTCCCAGAAACTGGAAAGTTAACAACAAAAAATGTGACTCCCTCCCTCTCTCACTCTCTTGTCCCTGGAGAGATCCAGCTGGCAGGAGGATGTATATTTCACTTTCAAGAGTTTGCAACTTCCCCGCTTCTCCCCCTGGAAGCCCCCTCCGCTTTTCGAATTCCTCCGCATTCCTCCTTCCCTCCTCCCAAGGCCAGTTTTCCACCACATGGCTGTCTTTCCAGACAAAATCCTGGTGCTAAGTGGTTGCAATGCACTGAACAGACCCAGTCGTCTTTCCAACATAAATCTCTCTCTTGTCAATGGTCCATGGATATATCCCAGGCATAGGCAAATGCTGGCCTTCCAGGTGTTTTGGACTTCAACTCCCACAATTCCTAACAGCCTCAGGCCCTTTCCTTTTCCCCCTCAGCCGCTTAAGCGGCTGAGGGGGAAAAGGAAGGGGCCTGAGGCTGTTAGGAATTGTGGGAGTTGAAATCCAAAACACCTGGAAGGCCAAAGTTTGCCTATGCCCGGGATATCCTTTGGACTTTTGACTTTGAGTCTCCTTGTGGAGAGAAATAATAGGGTATAAATAAACATAAACATAATAATAATAAGTTACGGAATAATAAAATAAGTGTATTTATTTGTTTGTTTGTTTGGAGCATTTCTATTCCGTCCTTCTCGCCTCCGAAGGACTCAGGACGGCTATCAACAGGCACCATTTGGTTCCAAACAATAAAACAAGGATAATATACAATTAACCTACATTAAAAATAATTATAGGTACATTAAAACACTTTGCCATTTCATGTCGTCTTCCAGATCAATCCATTGCCGTCAGCTCTTGTCTTTCTCTTGTCAAAGCGACAATAAGAGCATCCCAGTTTCTGAGAGCTAAAAAGTCAATTAAAATCATCTTGATCCCATAACCAGGGTTTGAGCGTCTTCCAGAAAGTCATGAGGGAGGGGGCAGATTTGATCTCATTAGGGAGGGGGTTCCACAGCCAAGGGGCCACTACCGAGCAGGCCCTGTCTCTCATTCCCACCAAGCGAGACTGCGATGGGGGTGGGACCGAGAGCAGAGCCACTCCAGATGATCTTAAGGTCCTTGGGGGTTTGTAGAGGGAGATACGTTCGGTTAGGTAAGCTGGTCTGGAAGCATTTAGGGTTTTATAGGTCAAGTTATGGAATAATAATAAAATAAGTTACAGAATAATAAAATAATAAGTTACGGAATAATAAAACAATAAGTTACGGAATAGTAAAATAATAAGTTACGGAATAATAAACGTTAGGGAAAATGAAAATGTCAAACTACTCTTGGACTTCCCAATTCAGATTGACAGAGTTTTGGAGCACAAAACTCCTGACCTCACAATTGTGGGGAAAAACAAAATATGGATCATGGATGCTGCAATCCCAGGCGACAGCAGAATTGACGAGAAGCAACTGGAAAAGCTTACATGATATGAGGATTTAAAGATTGAACTGCAAAGACTCCGGCACAAGCCAGTCAAGGTGGTCCCAGTGGTGATCGGCACACCTTGGCCTGCACCTAAAATTAATTGGCGCTGACAAAATTACCATCTGTCAGCTGCAAAAGGCCACCCTACTCGGATCTCCACTCATTATTTGCCAATACATTACACAGTCCTAAACACTTGGGAAGGGTCCAATGTGTGAACGAATGCAAAAGCTAGCAGAGTGATCTTGTTTGCTGTGTACTCATCTTGTTGTGTATCAAATAGATACCATCTTGGTGTGAAGGTAAGCGGCACTCCATGCAGTCATGCAGGCCACATGATCTAGGACAGTGGTTCTCAACCTGGGGTCCCCAGATGTTTTTGGCCTTCAACTCCCAGAAATCTTAACAGCTGGTAAATTGGATGGGATTTCTGGGAGTTATAGGCCAAAAACATCTGGGGACCCCAGGTTGAGAACCACTGATCTAGGAGGTGTCTACAGACAACTCAGGCTCTGCGGCTTTGAAATAGAGATGAACACTACTCCCCAGAGCCAGAGATGAAGGGGAAGCCTTTACCTTTATCTGTGTATCTGTGTTTCATTGTTTCGAGGCATTGAATGTATATGCTGGAATCCGCCCTGAGTCCCCTCAGGGAGATAGGGCAGAATACAAATTAAGTGTTGTTGTTGTTGTTGTTATCCCAAGTAAAACAGCACGGGTTTGATTGGAAGTTGTCTTTTGTTTTCCTGGAAAGGTCTGCCAAACCTCATTGCCTTAATATTATGGAAATTTCTGATTGACCATTTCTGAGCCCGCTCAACAATGTAGGAGTATTTGGGGTGCATCTACACTGCAGAATTAATGCAGTTTGACACCATTTTAACTCGCACAGCTCAATGCTCTGGGAATTGTAATTTTACAATGTCTTCAGAGATCTCTACCAGATAACACAGATGTCTCATCAAACTACAAGACCCATGATTCCATAGCATTGACACATGGCAATTAAAGTGAAGTCAAACTGTAGCAGTTCTTCAGTGCAGACGCACTTTTGGTGATCCAAGTTTGCCAGGTCATTTGAGGGGAGCTAATTCGAGCTTTCGTGGGACTCAAGAACTATTGCTTCATGAAGAGGCCTCTCTTTCCCCAATATGATTCCCTCCGGACATACTGGATTGCAACTCCCATCATCCCCAAATGTCAAAATGGGCCAATACTGACCTGATTTCTGTAAAATTAAAGGAAACAAAGAGACAGTGGGTTTCAAGGCCAGATTATGCACCAGATATAGGCAAACTTCAGCCCTCCAGGTGTTTTGGACTTCAACTCCCACAATTCCTAACAGCCTACTGGCTGTTAGGAATTGTGGGAGTTGTAGTCCAAAACGCCTGGAGGGCCAAGCCACGATTTGTTTCAAAATGAATTTGGCAATGCTCTGTATTACACGACACAAAGATATCTATATCCATATCCCAACCTGTGCAATCTGAATCGCTGAAGAAAGGGATTTTATCTCCATTCAATACGATCCGCGTCTCACAAATTTTAATACTCTGTACTCGGTATTACTGCTTGAGTGATTTGATGGCCTCTAAGCCATAAATGTCACTCTGTTTGATCATCCTGGGGAGCATTTAAGGTTTAATAACTCCAAACATTATTCCTTCAGGACTCCAGAGTTTACATACAGGTATGTAGATCAAGATACTCGGCCGTGGGGGGGGGGGGGGGGTCTTTCATTGCAGCCTTCATCCTAAATGCTTGGGAACCGAAGTGTTTTTGGATTCTGGAAAATATCCCTATTTGTGTATACATGCATAATAAGGAGATGGTTTGGAGACGGGATCCATCTAACTACTCAATGACTCAATGCTATAGAATCCTGGGATTTGTAGTTCAAAACGAACTACAAATGCTGTTCCTGTGATTCCACTGCACTGAATCATGGTAGTTAAAGTGACATCAAAATGCATTAATTCTACAATGGAGCTGCACTCCATAATAAGAGCAGTAGGTGCCCTTGTTTTTAATCAGTCTTTTAAGAGCTATTAAAGGTGTGGGATTCAGCACTTTGGACAGCGCCTTTAAAGTTCAGAAGATATCAGTTGCCACTGTTAGGGACTAGATTACACACAGAGGTGCATCTATCTACCTTGTTGAGTTAATGCAGTTTGATACCACTTTAACTGCCATGACTCAAGCCTTTGCTGCATGGAAGAAAGGGGTTGGACTGGATGGGCCCTGCGGTTGTTCCTATAACTATTATTATTTATTTGATACACAACAAGATTGGTACAAACCAAACAAGATCACTATGTTTTTGTATTCAATCACACGTCAAACACTCCCCAAGTGCCTAGGACTGTGTGATGGATCAGCAAATAAGGTGTGCAGACCCGAGTAGGGTGGCCTTTCGCAGCTGACAGATGGTAATATAATTTATTTATTTATTTATAATTCAAACTTATATACCGCCACTCCCCTGAGGCTCGGAGCGGCTTACAAGAACAGGCTAAAATCTAACACAATTTAAAAACAATTTAAAAACAATTTTAAAACAGCAATATCAAAGATCAAAGGCCTGTCGAGACCGATATGTATTACATGCCCTGTGAAAAGCTGATAGCTTTCAGCGCTGATTGTTTTTAAGTGCAAGCCAAGGTCTTGAGGCACTACACCCGGTGTGCCAGTCACCACTGGGACCACTTTTACTGGACTGTGCCAGATTCTTTGTAATTCTATTATTATTATTATTATTATTATTATTATTATTATTATTATTACAAAGTCAGGGTGTTGACAGTGCTTTGATTGTACTTTTCCTGCATGGCAGAAGGGGGTTGGACTAGATGGCCCCTGAGGTTGCTCCTGTTATTATTATTACTACTACTACTACTACTACTATTACAAAGGCTGGGTGGCCATCTATTGGGAGTGCTTTGATTGTGCTTTTCCTGCATGTCAGTGGAGGGGGGTTGGACTGAATGACCACTAGGGTTGTTGTTGTTGTTGTTGTTACTACAAAAGCTGGATGGCCATCTGTTGGGGGTGCCTTGATTGTGCTTTTCCTGCATGGCAGAAGAGGGTTGGATGGCCCCTGGGGTTGCTCCCATCATCATCATCATCATCATCATCATCATCATCATCATCATTACAAAGGCTGGGTTGCCATCTATTGGGGGTGCTTTGATTGTGTTTCTCCTGCATGTCAGGGGAGGGGGTTAGACTGAATGCCCCCTAGGGTTGCTGCTGCTGCTGTTGTTGTTACTAAAAAAGCTGGATGGCCATCTGTTGGGGGTGCTTTGATTGTGCTTTTCCTGCATGGCAGAAGAGGGTTGGACTGGATGGCCCCTGGGGTTGCTGCTATTACTGTTGTTGTTGTTGTTGTTATTTCAAAAGCTGGGTGCCTGTCTATTGGGGTGCTTTGATTGTGCTTCTCCTGCATGTCAGGGGACGGGGGTTGGACTGAATAGCCCCTGGGGTTGTTGTTGTTGTTGTTGTTTTTACAAAGGCTGGGTGGACATCTGTTGGGGTTGTTTTAAGAGTGCTTCTCCTGCATTACAGAGCGTCGTTGAACTGAATGGCCCCTGGGGTCTTCCTGTGAAACACTGTTAGGTTTTATTGCACATGCCACACACACACACACACACAAACACACATACATTTTATATATACATTTTATATATAATATAATATATAAACATTTCTTGGGGCTCCATGAGAAACTTTTGCTCTGCTGAAAAAGTCTGTGAACCCCTGCTCTAGAGAAAAATACAATCTCCTGATGACAGGAGAATATTTATCCACTACTATGGACCCAGCTCCTGGTTCTATCAAGAGACCAAAGTCTTAATCAAAATACTTTGATAAAGTGTTCTTCTTGGGAGGCTTTTATGCAGAGTCTGGAAGGCCATCTGTCAGGGGGACTTTGATTGTATTTTCCTGCATGGTAGAATGGGGTTGGATGGGATAGCCTTTGGGGAGTCTCTTCCAACTCTACAATTCTATGATTTTATGACTCTTAAGGCCAAATAAATTTGGATTGACTCTACTAATGTATTTATAAGTTGTGAGTTCAATAAGTATGAGAGCTCAGGTGGCTTAGCAAAGCATATCGTTGAGTGACCGAGAAGATTCACTTCTTATTCAACCCCCCAAGTGTTCCTCAATGGTGAAATCCTCCACCTCCCTTGGTCCGTTCTCCCAAAACCAACCTGTTTGGCAAAGACGGCAATGTCTTCGTTGAAGGAATCCGAGGAACAGACGTCTCCTCCTGGATAGGAGCCAGAGGTATCCCTGGGAGAGCAGGTTGCCAGTTCACATTTCTCAAAGACCAGGGCCAGCAGCGGAAACAAGGGGTGCCTGCCGTAGGAGAGAAAAAGGCTGAGCAAATGGCACAAATGCAAACATAGCAGCTTGGTAGAGAAACCAGGGAAACTAGGAGCCAGAGCAAGGAACAGGACCTTGGCCTGATGAGTTTTTCCATTTCTCAACCTGTCATACCATCAGAACCGACTGATACTTAAGGATTCCTGTTTGTTGGTGATCGCAGGTCATTCAAAATAAAGGAAAATTATTGAGCAAAGACACAGCATTGACTAATGCAGCATTTCTCAACCTGGGGGTCAGGATACCTGGTGGGGTCTTGAGGGGGGTTGTCAGAGGGGTCACCAAAGACCATCAGAAAGCACTGTATTTTTTGTTTTGTCATAGGGGTTCTGTATTTCACAATTCTATCATTGGTGGGGTTCAGAATGCTCTTTGATTGTAGGTGAACTATAAATTCCAGCAACTGCAACTCCCAAATGTCAAGGTCTATTTTCCCCCAAACCCCACCTGTGTTCACATTTGGACATATTGAGTATTCATACCAAGTTTGGTCCAGATCCATCATTGTTTGAGTCCACAGAACTCTCCAGATAGAGGTGAACTACAACTCCAAAACTCAAGGTCAATGCCCATCAAACTCTTCCAGTATTTTCTGTTGGTCATGGGAGTTCTGTATGCCAAGTTTGGTTCAATTTGGGCATATCAGGTATTTGTGCCAAATTTAGTCCATATCTATAGTCGTTTGGGTTCACAGTGCTCCACGGAAGTAGGTGAACTACATCTTCCTTAAGTAGGTGAACATCTTCCTCAAACTCCACCAGTGTTTACATTTGGGCATATTGAGTATCCATGCCAAGTTTGGTCCAGATCCATCATTGTTTGAGTTCACAGTGCTCTCTGGATGTAGATGAACTACAACTCCAAAACTCAAGGTCAGTGCCTACCAAAACCTTCCCGTATTTTCTCTTAGTCATGGGAGTTCTGTGTGCCAAGTTTGGTTCAATTCCCTCATTGGTGGAGTTCATAATGCTCTTTGGTTGTAGGGGAACTATAAATCCCAGCAACTACAACTCCCAAATAAAAAAAATCAATCCCCACCCTACAACACCAGTATTCAAATTCAGGCATATCGGGCATTTGAGCCAAATTTGGTCCAGTGAATAAAAATACATCCTGCATATCAGATATTTACATGACGATTCATAACAGTAGCAAAATTATAATTATGAAGTAACAACAAAAATAATTTTATTGTTCGGGGTCACCACAACATGAGGAACTGTATTAAGGGAATGTGGCATTAGGAAGGTTGAGAACCACTGGACTAGTGTTTGATTTCAAGAATCCAACAAGTCTGCAGATACAGAGAAAAGGACACATTTGGGACTATTTGGTGTCCGTTCATTGGATTGGCTTACAAAGAAACATTCTCCGACAAGTCTAAGCTGGCACGGGAAAACTTTGGTCCTCCAGGTATTTTGGACTTCAACTCCCACAATTCTAAAAAGCTGAGGGGCAAAAAGGAAAGGGCATGGGGCTGTTAGGAATTGTGGGAGCTGAAGTCCAAAGCACCTGGAGGGCCCAAGTTTGCCCATGCCTGCTCTAAAGGATGACCTAAATCAAAATGTTGTGACCAGAACAGTCTAAATGCAGATTTTACACACAAAACAAATGAAATGGGACATCTCAAAACAACATAGTTATTTAGATTGCAATCCTATGGGTAGTTTTTTCAGGAGGCTGGTAAAAAACATATACAGCAATGGCACTATAATGTTGTTGTTGTTGTTACTGCTGCTGCTGTATTATTATTATTATTATTATTATTATTATTATTATTATTATTATTATTATTATGGGGGACATGAGAGAAGCCTCCTTGCAGGATTGCAAGACATCCGTCGTCCCTGGGCAACGTCTTCATAGACGGCTGATTCTCTCACTCCAGAAGTGACTTGCAAACCACAGACCACCTACTGCAATGCAACCTGAGCCCTGCCACATGCACAATGGAGGACCTTCTTGCAGCAACATCAGAGGCACTCCAAGTGGCCAGCTACTGGTCAAAGGACATTTAATAGAATACCAAGTCTGCAAACTTTGTGTTTTGTTTGTTTGCTTGTTTTTAATGCAATACAACTGTTTTGGTTTGCTCCTGACACGATAATTAAATACAATTATTATTATTATTATTATTGCAACAACTGCCAACATGGCACCTTCCTTACAAGTTGCATTTTGCACAGGAACATAAGCTTAAGTGGCTGAACGGTGAAAGGAAAGGGCATGAGGCTGTTAGGAATTGTGGGAGTTGAAGTTCAAAACACCTGGAGGGCTCAAGTTTGCCCAGGTCTGCCTCTATACTGTAGAATTAATTAGGCTTGAGCCTACTTTAACTGCTCAATGCTATGGAATCCTGGGAGTTGTAACTCTTCAGCAGAGAAGGCTAAAGGAGAACCACAAATCTCTTGATTTCATAGCATTCAGACATGGCAGTTGAAGTGGTGCCAAACTGCATTACCTCCGCAATGTAGAATCACCCCAAGGGATCCGCATATGTTGTGGGTACTCCTACCCACAAAAAATAAGAACGGGAGGGAAGAAACTCAATGGATAATCTTTAAAAATCGGTGTCGTGTTGAATGTGCTGGACTTTGGTCTAAGATCAGAGCCCGATCACCATCTCCCAAAGCAGTTATTATACTCCCAACTCAAGAATGGGAAACGTAACTTTGGTGAACAGGAAAAGAGATTGAAAGATTGGCTTATTTATTTATTTATCGTGTCAGGGGCAATACCATTGTATTACATTTCTAACAGTACAAAACAAACAAACAGATTAAAAAAACACAAATTTTGCCATCTTGGTAGTTGATTAAATGTCCTTTGACCAGTATCTGGCCACTTGGAGTGCCTCTGGTGTTGCCGCAAGGAGGTCCTCCATTGTGCATGTGGCAGGGCTCAGGTTGCATTGCAGCAGGTGGTCAGTGGTTTGCTCTTCTCCACACTCGCATGTCATGGATTCCACTTTGTAGCCCCATTTCTTAAGATTGGCTCTGCATCTCGTGGTGCCAGAGCGCAGTCTGTGCAGCACCTTCCAAGTCGCCCAGTTTTCTGTGTGCCCAGGGGGAGTCTCTCATTTGGTATCAGCCATTGATTGAGGTTCTGGGTTTGAGCCTGCCACTTTTGGACTCTCGCTTGCTGAGGTGTTCCAGTGAGTGTCTCTGTAGATCTTAGAAAACTATTTCTTGATTTAAGTCATTGACATGCTGGCTGATACCCAAACAAGGGATGGGCTGGAGATGTCACTGCCTTGGTCCTTTCACTATTGGCTGCTACTTCCCGGCGGATGTCAGGTGGTGCAATACCGGCTAACAGTGTAATTTCTCCAGTGGTGTAGGGCGCAGGCACCCCGTGATAATGTGGCATGTCTCATTAAGAGCCACATCCACTGTTTTAGCGTGGTGAGATGTGTTCCACACTGGGCATGCATACTCAGCAGCAGAGTAGCATAGCGCAAGGGCAGATGTCTCCAGAAGTGACCAAAGATGGGCTTAAAGCCAACCTTAAAAATTGTGGCATAGACACCAAGAGCTGGAAGTCCTGGCCCTTGAGTGCTCTAGCTGGAGGTCAGCTGTGACCAGCAGTGCTGTAGAATTTGAAGAGGCACAAATGGAGGGCAGGGAGAAATGTGCCAAGAGGAAGGCATGTCAAGCCAACCCTGACTGGGACCTCCTTCCGCCTGGAAACTGATGTCCTCACTGTGGGAGAACATGAGGATCAAGAATAGGGCTCCACAACCACCTATGGACCTACTGTCAAGAGGTCCATCATCCTCAGGCTATGAAAGATTGCCTAAATAAGTAAAGTCAGTATTAAGATCAGAGCAATCAATGGGTCAAATCTGGAGTCCAAACCATGGAAGGAAATACTTGGGAGGCCGAAACCAGTACTCTGCTCTGCAAAAGCTCAGTTATTTCAAAGCTCTCCATCGGGGTGGAAACCCACTTCCCTCCTGCTCCGTGATTTACTGTGATTTACGTCTCCGGGACTCCAAGCTCCGACTAGTCGAGGTCCACCCCTCCATCCTCCCCCTTTTCCTTCCCATCCGCCAGATTTGGATGGATAGCGAAAAAGACAGAGTGTTCCCAGCCATACATTACACAAGTTCACGCACCATATGTTACACAAATATTTGTAGCAGAGGCCCAGCGCCTCGCAACTGCTAAGTGAGCGTCTCCGCAGAACTTTTAAGATCCCCCTACGCAAAACAAAACAAAGATCTCCCCCCCCCCATCCAAAAAATAAGGTGGGGAGAGAAGCAAAATCCCAAAATAATTCCACTGCTGCCCTCCTATTCAAAGGGGGGGGGGGGAATGGCAAATTAAAACCATGGCTAACTGTAAGCAGGGATTTGTTGGAAAACGAAGTGAATGCAGGCTGAGTATTTCAGGGTCTACTGGAAAAATAAGTCTTGTTTTGAGATGGCTGAAAAGTCTCCAACTGTAGGCAGAAAGAAGGGGACCACATCATGTTTTGCTCCGTCGAACCTTTTTCCAACCAGCATCAGATTTTTCCCCGATCTACAGAATAGTTTTGCTGGGGAAGAAGGGAACAAATGTTTGATTTACTGATTCATCTATCATCATAGAATTAGAAGTTAGGGTGTGTCTACACTGTAGAATTAATGTGGTTTGGCACCATTTAAACTGCCATGGCTCAATACTATGGAATCCCAAAAGTTGTAGTTTGTCCTCTTTGGCAAAGAAGGCTAAAGACCTTGTAAAACTGCAATTCCCAGGATGTCATAGCATTGGTAGCCTCTTTGAGTACCTATGGCGAGAAAGGCGGAGTAGAATTGGAGATGATGACAATACTAATAATAATAATAACGATTCTCAACTGCAAAAGGCCATCGAGTCGCCCCAGGGCTGAGAGTGGCGGTCTATAAGTGCAAGAAATAAATAAATAATAATAATCTTATTTGAGAGGCGGATGAGCTCCCTCTAGCAGCTCCAGCTCCTCATGCGGGGACATGAGAGAAGCCTCCCACA